TTCTTTCGTCCCGTGTGTCTAGTTTACTGATGAGCTCATCAAAGGCATCCTTCATTGCTGTTACAGTGTTTTTGATTTCTGGCAATTCCTTTTACTTCTTTTTTAGAGTTTCCATCTTTCTGTTTATGTTACTCATCTGTTCTTGCACGCTGTCAACTTTTTCATCAGAACCTTTACCATATTAATAATATTTGTTTTAATTTCCTGGTCTGATAATTCCCAAATCTCTGCTGTATCAGATTCCAGTTCTGTTCCTTGTTTTGTCTCTTCAGATAGTTTCTTTCTTACCTTTTACCTTGCCTTGTAATTTTTTGCAGAAAGCTAGACATGATGTACTGGGTAATAGAAACTGAAGCAAATAGGTCTTTACTGTGAGGTTGTATGTGTGTCTCGCCAGGAGTTGGGCTGTTTCTGTTTGCTGTAGCTTAGATCCGAGGCTGCAGTTTCTTCTAGTGTCCTTGTTTTTGTCTGCTCTGTTGTCTTTGAGTTTCCCTAGAAATTATTTCTTTAATAGAGTCTGTGTCTTGCATGGAACCAGAGCCCTGTAGATTTCACGTTAATACACTGCAGGAGGGGAGGGGTGCATTCTATAATCTTATGATTAAATCTCAGTTTTTTTTATTGGGCCAGAGTTCCTGGGCTGTAACCTTCAGGAGAGTTTCTTAGCCTTTTTTTCCCTATGTGAGACACAAAGGCTAGTGGGGGCTGGAGTCAGCTAATTGCTCCTCCCCCAGGTCAGAGAATGCTCTGGTAGTTTCCTTATTATGGAGAGAGTAATGCTCAGGGATATTTCAAAATGGTTACTTTTCCCACTCCCTGCTGGAAGCAGAGGCCTATTTTTCTCTGATCTGCACTGTGAGAACCTGCTGGGGCTCCTGGAGGGAAAACCCATGAATGTGTGGGAGTTTTCATTTCTCAAACTGGCCAGTGCTGAGCCTCCAGCAGTTCACCAGTTATAGTTGAAGTGTTCCTGCTGCTGTTGGCTCCAGAGGCTCTGCTCCCGGGAAGCTGTGACTGTAGACTGTCAGGGTAGGAGGAAGGAATTCATGAGTCCTTGCCTTAATAAATAGGTGATAAAATAATAAATCAGGGCCGGCCTGGTGGCGTAGTGGTTAAGTTTGTGCACTCCGCTTCAGAGGCCTGGGGTTTGTGGGTTTGGATCCTGGGTGCAGACCTGTACACTGCTTGTCAAGCCATGCTGTGGCAGTTTCCCACATACAAAATAGAGGAAGATTGGCACAGATGTTAGCTCAGGGCCAATCTTCCTCACCAAAAAGAAAAAATAATAAATCATTAAAAAAAGATAAGACTCTTGTTCACTGTTAGAATGCCAAGTGCTTGACTGGTAAATGTGGGAGGGATGCTGGAGCTGAAAAAATAATATTGCAGTCAAATTCTGGATGTGGCAAGAGTCATCAATAAGGATTAAATGGGGTGGAGTGGGTAGATAGACAAAGAAAATAAGAAAATGCTAAAAAAAAAAAAAAAATGGGAAGTCACAAGGATTCAAGAGCCAGCTTCTGGGGGCTCCCACTAGCCTTAACTGGTACTGTTTGAATACCATTGGCTCCTTTGTCCTTATGACCTGCCTCCCTTTTTTTAAAGCATTTTCTTATTTTCTGGTATAACCAGATGATCCAGGCTAATTTTGTACCCCAGCATTGGTATCAGCCATTTCTCTGAAGATCTCAAAGAAAAATATATTGTTTTGAGTTATAATTGTATGTTTGGAAACTTTATGGAATTTTAAAACACATGTATAGAGAAATCAAAATGAATTAGTCATTTGAATAATTATGAGTTTTCTCCTTTCGTAATTCTTTAAAATCAGGACAATCAGTATTTAACCCCAAAGAGAAAAGGGTGGCAGAAGTTGAGAAATATGAAAATGGAGACCCCTGTTAAGATACACATTTCATGTCAGTGAGTCCCCAGTACTCTGGAAGGTCTTGCACTTCCTGTTCTCGGGGTTGAGCATCAGAGGGAACAAGTGGAAATAAACGTTTTCAGGGCGTCTCATTGTTCTGCATGACCTTCCTCTCCCCCAACCCCAACATGTAACTGAAGCCTTAGGTCCAGGTGGACTGAAGTACAGCCTCCAGCTGCTGTCAGCTCCTTAGGAGGAGACCCCTCTCCCTGCCTGCCTGGGGGGCTGTTTACTGAGATTGAGCCCAGGGGCAGGGCCTACCCTAGAGACAGGAGGCTTTACAAGGTGCTTCATTGAGCACCGGATCAGACTTGCCCAGTCTCAGAGTGTGAGTTAAATTAACAGGGGCACAGTAGGCATGGTTGGAAGGAAGATGACAGAGAAATTGTACAGGATTAATAGAAAATGAAATTTATAAAATTAAAAATTTGGAGTTTTAAACGTTTATTTAAACTTCATTTCTTTCCTAAAGCATTGGCAAATTTGGACTTGAAAATTCAGGGTATGAAAATGAAATCCACATGGAAGACACGTATAAAAGGAATAAACAGCTTCTAAAGAAAAAGAATATTGTCTCTCATTTTTGGCCTTTGTTAGGAGATCCCACAGATAAATGTTCAGATTGGTAATATGACATATGAATTCTGTGGGGCCCACATCTCTGAAAGAGCATAGCTTGTCATTGAACTCAGATAAACATTTTGTGTCACTTGACAAAGACTCTCTCCTTGACCAAACTCTAGTTGGGCTCCTCTGAGCCCTCTTCTCAACTAGGCCTCAACACTGGCCTATAAAACCTGCAGTCTCTCAGCACCCTGCCCTCCCCACCACCCCCTTGCAAAGAGATGTGAACAAACACCAGCATACTTTCTAACATCATCGATGATGAGTCCAGCCCCCGTAAAATGCTTGCCTGGGAAATCTCAGCACTGCCAGGAGGGTTTACTGTTTGTTCCAGTGAAAACCTGGTGATAGGCAGATAGGTCTCTGACCACCCCTCCCCGCCCCCTTAACCCGCTCCCAACAGTTACTTTAGAAAGCTTACAATTATAAATCCTTTCTCTACTCCTTTGAGGTGCAAATCTTCTACCACCCAGAACTGTCTCCTCAAGGACCTGAGAGCTGTCTCTTTGAAATGCAAACATTCCAGGAGGTAACTCTTGCTCTCACTCCCAGCCTGGTGGGGCCTTGCTCTGACTTGTGCCGCTGACTTCCCCTTGTTTCTGTTCTGTTAACAAACCCACAAGGCCTGGTCACATTAACCAACCCCATTCCCACTTTTTGTAAATTTCTACTTCTCTGACTGCCCTTGAGCCCTGCTGTTCCCCCTTCTTCTTCCCTCATTCTCCTTTTCAAATGCTCGGCTACTCTGAACAAGTAGGAATTGAGTTCATTTCACACTGGAACCCCTACCCTAGTGCCATAGTTACTGAATAAAACCTGTCCTTACCACATCAACTGGTGTCTGGCTTTATCTGTGATACACTCCATAGCTTTGGACAAAATCGTGCCCATCTATACCTTTCTTCTACACGTAGGCCTTTTAAATATCAATACATTTTACATCAAAACAAAAGCGCACTGACGTACAAATCTGAGAAGCCTAGAAGGGAACTTCTAGTTTTCACCTCTTTGTGGCAGCTTTAGGCTAGAGTGTGGAAAGGGTTAAAGACAGTGGAGTCTTGAAGACATGGGTGGAGATGGAGAAGTAACCTCCGGGCTGCTGCCATGAACTGGAGTGTCACTGGGCTAATACTGTTACTGCCCAAAAGGGGGGGTCGTCTGCCGGCCGTAAGACACGCCAGTAGTCAAAAGGCAGGGAGGTAGGAGGGAAAGGACTTGACTACAACCTGCTAGCAAGAGGGAAGATGGTCGACTCATGTCCAAAAGAACCATCTTACAGAACAAAGACTACAGGCCAATTATATAGGGAGCTGGTCCCAGGTGGCGGAGACATCTGGTCCCAGTTCCTGACAGTCTTTTGTTTTACTGGATATGCATCAGAGACTGGAGCAACGCCCTATACCCTGGTCTTTCAGTTGTCATTGGTGATGGCTGTTGGCATAGACTTTCTGCCCCAGGTCATCACATTTCTAAGGAACTCAAAAGAACCAAGTTATCGACTCATTTCAGCTGGAGGGACCATAAAATCCACAGAGCATGTCAGTTAATCAGAGGTCATTCAAAGTTACAGTAGGGTTTCTTTTTCTACAATATGGCTTCCCTCATGTCAGCCTTGTGTTGAGCCGGGATCAATATGATCCTAGGATGACAGATCTCCCTTATCCGCAGTTGTTTGCTGCTGCCTGGCGGGGAGGTTGTCTCTTTCCCTCCCCTTGTGGCCCTCTGTCAAGTTCTCTTACAGGTGGGGAACAGTGACAACCCTCGGGAAGGTATCATTCCAGCCCAATTTCATGTGAATTTATAGATCCACAGAGGCAGAAGGATGAGAGAAATCCATAATCAAAAGAACTTAATGTTAAAAACTCAGAAACCGTGACTGCCTTCCTTTCAATAGGAACCTCCTTTCAGATCTACATCTTGTTGACTGTGATCCCCCTTGTTGGGAAGAACGTACACTTGAGTCACTTTTCAGACTTTGATTTACGTGTTTGTATGCAAGCTTCCCTCCCCTCTGGTCCCTGAGATAATTTCTGGATAGATGGTTGGAGGGGAAGGGGATCTTAGGTTGAACTTAGGTATAAAAATGAACCCATGAACTAATGTGTTGCAAACTAAGGTGAGGTCTTCACCCGGATTCTGGTAGATGGATACCACTTCTCTTGTATGAAGATTTTTGAAGAAACAGTAATAGTTATATTACAAAAGAAAAAAGACAAAAACATAATGAATTTCAAACCTGTTTGGTAATGTATCCTTCCAGATCGTCTCTACATGAGAGAGACTAATGGAATCATCTGGGCCAGGAAGAGAGATCAATACCAAATGCCTCCCTGAGGGTTGGGAGCGCTCAGGTGGCCACCACAGGTGCTCAGATTTGGTCCCTGGACTTCCAGACTGTGGAGGAAAAAGTGTGGTGACTGCCTTACGTTTCCCTTGTGTCTCCTCCCAGAAAAACTGAGTCCTGAGCACACTACCGAGATGGAAAACGTGAAATCCTTGGTGCACAGACTGTTTACAGCCTTGCATTTAGAAGAGTTTCAGAAAAAGAGAGAGCGCTGTTTACTGGAGAAAATCGACTGGCTGACGGGACAGCTGCAGCCCCTGGAACAGGTGAGGGGCTTCCCGGGTGAGGCATTTGAAAGTGACACCCAGCATTACTGAGTGACTCCACGGGGGCGTTTTTCTGAACGTTTTACAGATGCTCATTTTCTCCTTCAATCCTCATGGCAAGCCCATGAGTTTGGTCCAGTTATCTTCCTCCTTCCTCAGGTGAGGAAACAGACAGCAAAGGCACGTGGCTAACAATACGTGGTAGAGCCAAAATGTGAACTCCAGGTCTGACTCGAGAGCTGCCGTCTCAGGCCCTGTGCTTCCTCTGCACGGATGGGCCGGAGCATCTCTGAATGAGCAGAGCCTGAGCTGGGACCCACGAGCTGGAGCACGACCAGTGTCTTTCTTAGAGGCAGCCCATGGCCCCAGCTCTGCGCAACGCGACTGCAGCTGGAAAGTTAGTCACGGCTTCCTAACACCTGAAGTTAGTCAGTGGTGGAGGAGAAAAGGACTTTCTTTTGGGAGGAGGGTCAGGGGTATGTTTGTCTTAATTTAAAGGAAAGAACTGCATCTTTTAAGCCAGCGATCCCACCTGTGATTTTTAAAAATGGGTCAGTGGATGTATATCTTTTATATGAATAGAAAGTTTCTGGAGATAAAAAAAACTTTTAATAGTGATGGCCTCTAAGGGTACTTAGTGGATGGCAGAGGGACTTTTTAATTGCTGGATTATGTACCCACATTTTTATTTTTTCTTTACTTTTTAAAAAGTTGGTAATATATTTCTATTAAAATTTAAAAATCTAAAAAAGTGTCCAGTGGAAAGTTTTCCTCCCATTATCCCCCCAGTTACTGTACCCCCCACCCCTAGGAATCATTTCAGATTGTCTTCAGGTACAAAGAAATACAACAGTATTATTATTTTGTTCCCATTTTCAGAAAGGGGTGCCCAGTATTCCATACTTTTCTCACCTTTTCTTACTAACGGTGTGTCCTGGAAGGATCCCCACGTTGGTACACAGAGAGCTTTCTCGTTACAGCTGCATAATAGCTTGATGGATATATGGATAATTCTTGGTCTTTTACTCTTAAGAATGAATCTGTAATGAATCACATGTGTGCAAGTGTACCTGTAGGAGGCAGCCCCAGAGTTGGGCTTGCCGGGCCAGAGAAAACAGGCCTGTGACTTTAGTTAGGTTTCAGAGGATGATGTCAGAGTTTTTCATTGTATACCCTTCTATACTATTAAAATTTTTTTTCCCACAAGCAAGTATTACCTTTATAATTTAAATCATAGCTCTTTAAAGTAATGCAGATGGGCAAAAAACAGTCGGTTTTTTCCCTCAGATGAAAGCAAGAATCGAAGGTCACTCAGAAGCCAAAACCAGCGGACTCCTGTGGGCTGGGTTAGCGCTGCTGTCTGTCCAGGGCGGGGCGCTGGCCTGGCTCACGTGGTGGGTGTACTCCTGGGATATCATGGAACCAGTTACATACTTCATCACGTTTGCAAACTCCATGGTCTTCTTTGCATACTTTATAGTCACTCGACAGGTGAGTAGTTTGTTAGGAAAAGGGTTGTTAGAGCATCTTGTGCAAAGAATACCTTGTCCAAGGCAAGTAATGAGCAGTCAAGCCTTTTTATTTACTGAGTTACTGCTCTCTGGGTTTTTATAAGCTGATTAACTTTTGTTGTTGTTTCTCACAACAAAAGGCTGGAGGGAGATTTATATACAGCGCAGAGAAACTATATATAACCTCTATAGAGAAATAAATAGTACAACTCAGAGATTCTTCCACTGAGATAAATACATCAAATTTATGTTCTCTGTGCCTCACTTATAAATCAAGTTGAATTGTATTGCAAGACACCCAGTAACGTTAGCTTTATCTCGTGGTTACTTTGCCAAAAATCGCCATTTCCCTTTTCTCCCTTCCGTCCCAGTACGTGTGACTTCTCTTCCCAGCTTGCGTGCCTCTGGCGGGAGCCACTCCTCTCCAGTGAGGCTGTGCTCCTGTGTGGCCTTGTGCCGTCTGATGGCCGTGGCACGCATTTCACTGCCCACCCTCCCTTGCTTTGGTGTTGCGAAGGCAGGTGTCTTTCTGCAGAGGCATCACGTTCATTCGGAACACGTCCTGTTCTCTTTTCTAGGATTACACTTTCTCAGCTGTTAGGAGTAGGCAGTGTCTTCACTTCTTCCATAAGAAGTCAAAGCAGCAGCAGTTCGATGTGGCACAGTACAACAAGTTAAAGGAGGATCTTGCTAAGGTACCTTGTTGCCAATACACCATCTGAGAGCTGGTCCTGTTTGGGAGCCAGAACCTTGTGTCAGGAAACGGTTGTGGCTCATCCTGACAGGATGAGTCTTGGTCCTAGATAGACCTGTGTGTGTGGTGGTTTGTTCAGTAAATAGTTGACACGTCTGATAGTAATTTCATATCCTACAGTTTATCCTTGTCTCGGTCTCCTACATGGGGCTAGCTTTAAATGTGTATGTGAAAACGTGAGTGGCTGAGAGAGTACCATAAACGTTTCCAACAGAAATCTGTTTCTACGTGAGTATGTTTTTAGAGAGAAAAGTCCAACAGCTAGCTCAGTTGCAGATTTGTAACTAGTGAGAAAGGACAAGCAAGTCAAATTGTAGGAAGGGGAACACTCGGAGAGAATTTTAAGCCTTCTAAAGGCAGTTCAAGTTTCTTCTCCTTAAAAATAGAAGAATCCATATGGTAGTCTTCCTTCACCTTTTCCATCTTTCAGATGAGAAAACGGGGGTGCTTATCACTTGCCCAGGTATACAGGGGTAGGAAGTGGGGAAACCATGCTGGACACCCAGAGGTGGACCCTGGAGCCGGTGCTCTTAAGCACGTCCACAGCCTTTGTCTCTGGCCTCCCAGTGGACTCGTTAGCTTTGTTCAGATGGTGACTTCTCAACACGTAACTAGATTTTGAATATTTCTCAGTAATTTTATAAGAAAAAAGTTTTGGTAAAAACATCTTCTATTGCTCAATGCATGCTCATTTATTAGCCAGTAATCATATCTTTTGTTACCTGTACCTTCTAAACTCTACCCGTCCCTCAAATTAAAAAAAAGGTATTACTAGAATTAAATTTTTAATCCAAAAATTGGAGATAGAGGGTTTGAAAAAATTTAATATAATCACTACATAAGAAAAATATGATACTTTGTTTTTAATTTAGTGGATATTCTTACATTTGAATGATCCAATCCAAGAATGCTAAGGAATGTTCTTCCAACCGGTTTATAGCACTGGGCATTTAAGATTTAAAGTAGCACCCTGTAAAGTATTATTTTAATAGTTGAGGAAAAAGGGAAACTGATAGATGAGAGTGTTTTTATTTTTTTTAATATAAACTGGAAAAACCATTATAAAGGGGAAAACCAATGTAACAAGAACTATAAGGCTGTATTAGAAACCTTAAACTCGTCTTTTAAAAAAGGATCCATATGAATGGAAATATGTTAGGCCTTTGCCACTAGTGTGGTTTAAATGTCTGTATTGCCCTAAGGAGACGTGAAATGTATGGGATTCCTCTCGAGCACGATGCCAGTGTCCCTCCTCCTCTGATCACGTGCCTTTCCCTCTTCCACAGGCTAACGAATCCCTGGAACGGGTGCGCCACGCTCTCTACTTGCGGATGCGAGTAGAGGAACTCGATGAAAAGAATTAATCTTACATTTTTAAATGTCACTGAATTTTTCCATTAGGTGTTGACTTTGCAACCTAGAAACTGGAACTTTTTGAGTCCCATAGTTCATTTGAATTTGACTGTTTCAGTCATTTTTATTAATAAAATGTTTGCAAAACACATGTATGCTTTGAAGTTCTCACTTGAGATTTTTGGTTTGTGGATTTTCCTGACTTGAGGTTTAATGCTGGAAAGAGCTTAGATGATCCATGAAAATCACAGTGGCTGCTGCTGCAGCTCGTCACTTCAGCTGAGGTCCCCATCAGCCTGTCCTGTTCATTCCCATGCGGAGGTGAAGTGGTCACTGTGCTCGGCACTCATTTTCATTCTTAGGCTTCATTTAAAATCATCTTGTCATTCATTTCTTTTTAATACATAGTAGTTGGAAGATTTTTATCATTAAATATAGCTAAAGTTGTTATAAAATGTCATTGGAAATGCTTCATACTAACTAATATTTAAAGCCATACGAAACCTGTAGGGCTGAGACAGATACTGTTTATCCTGTGTTGTCAAGTACTGTTCTAGGCACTTTACATAGATGTTATCTGTAATCCTGCAATCCTATGAGGTAGCTCTTTTTACTCCCAATTTAATAATGAGGAAACTGAGGCTTCGAGAGGTTAATTTGCCCAATGCACATAGCTATAATAAGATTTAAGCATCTACTCATAGGCGATCATAAATCTTTGTACATTTACACCTAATCGTATTTAATCTCTTATCCAGGATTTCAGTTTCATTAACTGTGGGACAGAAAAGGTAATGATGACTCCTGATATTAATCTGCTTAAAAACAAATAAACAAACAGCCCCCACCATTTCAGGGTATATCTGAACCAAATCAGATTCAAACTTCCTGGGCCGGCCCCGTGGCTTAGCGGTTAAGTGCGCGCGCTCCGCTGCTGGTGGCCTGGGTTCGGATCCCGGGCCCGCACCGACACACCGCTTCTCCTGCCACGATGAGGCCGCGTCCCACATACAGCAACTAGAAGGCTGTGCAACTATGACATACAACTATCTACTGGGGCTTTGGGGGAAAAAATAAAATAAATAAAAATTAATAAATAAATAAAATTCTTAAAAAAAAAAAAAAAAAAAAGATTCAAACTTCCTGCACCTGAACTAGAGCAGCACACAGTGCTCACTTGCTGTTTGCATCAGTATCTCTGAACCATGGAGATTCTGAATTATCAACATATTAGTGTGTTTTATTACTAAGCTAAGAAGATACACTAATAGGTTTTTATAATGAATATCACCAGGGTAAGTATTATGAGAAGCCCTTAGTACATGGTTCTGCCTCTGAGAAGCTCTATTCCCAGGAAGAGACAAGGCCATGAATGTAAGAGGAACCAGTTGGGAAAGGTAGGCCTTGCCTCTTGGGTGGAATTTGGAGAGGGAGGGCCTCTCAGGCAGGGAAGATGTAACATGGGGCGGGAGAAGTCCCGGAGCAGGTCTTGGCTGTGTATTGGTGGGATGTTTCTGTAACTAGAGTGGAGGATATACAGTGAAGAGAAGTAGGTTTATTGACTCAAGGTTGACCTGGGATGCTGGGGTCAGACAATGGAAGCAGGATTCTAGATTTAATATGGAAAACAGCAGAGGAAATCCAGAGTGGGATAGAAAATGCATGGGCTTACTTGGTGGAGAGACTAGGCAATTAACTTGACCTCTGCTCATGAAAATAGTTATAAAGTAGTACCGTGACCTTACTGAGAGTAAAGTGAGATGAAATACTTTGAACACGCCTAACCTAGAGAAGACACGCTACAGATGTCACTCCTGAAGGTAAGCTCTAGGAGAGCAGGGTGTTTTGTGTTGTTCACTGATGCGTCCGTCCCAAGGGCCAAGAATAATGCCTGGCCCATACCAGGTCCCCAAGAAAGACAAGAAACAGGCCTGTGGCATTTTCAGGTGTAGCGCTGGGGAAAGATTCTCGACTAGGAAAGTAGAAAGGATGGCTTCTGAATTCCTGCAGTCTAAAGGAAAATCTGGGCAGTTGGGGTAGACTAGAGCAGGAGTCAGCAAACTAATACCTATGCCTGTTTTTGTAAGTCAAGTTTTATTGGGACACAACTATGCTCATTTACGTATGACTGTGGCTGTTTTCGCACTACAGCAGCCAAGTCAACTAGCTGCAAAAACAGACGGTGTGGCCTGCGAAGCCTAACACATTTACCCCCTGGCTCTTACGGAAACATTTTCCCGACCCCCGAAGAGAATATGAAAGACAATTATCAAAGAATACTTCTGTGTTTTTAGGGCTTCAGAAAATTAGTCATGCGGGGGCTGGCCCCGTGGCTTGGCGGTTAAGTGTGCGCGCTCTGCTACTGGCGGCCCGGGTTCGCATCCCAGGCGTGCACTGATGCACTGCTTGTGGGGCCATGCTGAGGCCGTGTCCCACATACAGCAACTAGAAGGAGGTGCAACTACAACATACAACTATCTACTGGGGCTTTGGGGAGAAAAAGGGAAAAAAAAGGAGGAGGCTTGGCAATAGATGTTAGCTCAGGGCCGATCTTCCTCAGCAAAGAGAGGAGGATTGGCATGGATGTTAGCTCAGGGCTGATCATCTTCACACACACAAAAAAAGAAAATTAGTTGTGAAAAATGAATTCATTCTTAGTGAAGATAGCTTCCTTTGATTTGACAAAGTAAAACAGAGTTTAATATTCTTCAGAGGAGCTGCGTGTAGGTCACACTGTGCTTACTTGATGGCGGGTGGAACAGATCCCTGAGTACTGAGGGGACAACAGCTCAGTGATAAGAGGCAGGATGCTCCAACCCTTTTAATATTTAAACTGTGGTTTCTCTAAATGGGACATGTCATTTACGTTAAAACTTTATAGATCAATAATTTAAAAACAAACAGCAAATGATCTTTCTACTCAAGTTCCAAGTTGTAAGTAAGTCCAAACAGACTGGAACCAAAATTAAAGGAATCCAAACAGATTACGTTAACTTTTATTACAAAAGGATTGTCTTATTCCAAGACAACTGTTATAAACAAAATTCAGTTGTGTCCCTATTGCTTCCACAGCTCAGACTTGATGGCATTTTGGTGCCCAGATGTGTAGGTGCCAATGTTATTGCATCCTAACAAGAGGATTTTATTCAAATTAAACCCTTTGACTAATCACATTCAAGGAAAGAAATGTTTTTTTTTGTTTTTAGAGCTTTTTAATAACATCAGCTAATTTCTCTTAGGTACCCCGAACTGTGTAATCTTTGCCTAGAGGCCGGCCCAGTGTTCATGAGGTGTTCACCGAGGGGTGATTTTGGTAGTCATTAGCTCTTGAGAGTAGAGCCATGGAGAGGGCAATGCCTGAGGTAGGGGGTTAAAGGGAAGGTAAGATGGTGACAGTGGACCCCATCAGGACCACAAAAAAGCTGTCAGTGTCTCCCTAACCAGAGCATATAGTGCACTGAAGCTGAAATGACATATGGAAACGGTTGCTTTTGAACTAGCAACTCCCAAGCCTCAGTTATCAAAGCCCAGACATTTCCCATCTTCATCCTCTAGGCAGGTTATTAACAAAATAGTGCTCACATTTAGTATATCGTACTAGTAAGCATTGAACCTTAAAAGTAATATCGATTATTCCATTAACGTGATGTTCTGAGTGGGACTGACGACGCTGGACAACAGAGAGTCACCTAACAGGGAAGACACTGACAGAATCAGGGTTTGCAAGGGCTTAGCCTGTACTGACAAGAATTAACCGTCTTATAGTTCTTCCTCAGAATGCCATATAATAGTTCCTGAAGGCTGATTTTTTTTTAAAGAGTTAAAAGTCCTATACAAAAAGTGATCATTCATATGTAGATGAATCTATATGACCAAGTGAAACAAGCCTACTATAAACTACACACATGAATAAGAATGTGAATTAGAAAAATTTAATAAAACATGAATTCCAAATATGAAGGGGAAACAACTAATTCTTGGGTTTCCAAACCCTTTAAAGACATGATAAACTCTTGTAAAACACAAGTTATTGGCCAGATAGTTTGAGTAACCCTGCAATTTACTACAAAAATTAAGTATTGCAAATGCTTGCCGATTTGTGTTTATAGTAATTCCCTGAGGATTTCATTTCTACACAGATCAAACCCTTTCACCTCGTCCAATATGAACTATTTTTTAAAAAAGTTCTCATCAAACCTAAAAACATCTTAAATTGCTGTACCATAAGCTTCAGCCTGTTGATACTTATGTAAAAAGGGAAATCTATTTTGAAGACGGATACATAAAACAAAAGAGCTCCTCTCACTTCGATTTTGGGAGGAAATGCAGCTTTTTCGTTAGCATCGAGGCAAAGCAGGGAACTTGCTTCTTTCCAATGGCGCTCGGGTCCTTGCAGAAGTCCACTCGGCGCTGAGAGACCTTCCTGTTGACCAGTGTGAGGAGTTCCGTGAACTCTAAGGAGGAGCCGAACCTTCCCAGCATCTCACACAGATCCTGAATGTACCACGAGCCTTGGACAGTCTCCCGGTGGGAATAATAACCTGAAAAATACAGGAGGGAGAAGAACACTGAAGCTTTCCGGCTTTCCGTTACTGTGGCTGAAAAACACCTTTATGATTCACTGTTACAGAAGAATAAGTTCCCAAAAATCCTTGGAGAAGACTAAGATGTAGCCATGATTCAGTTTTTAAATTTTCTCTGTTGACTATTCTCATTTGGGAAAAGGGATTCATTCTATGTACTTTCCTCCATTTCCTAAAAATTCCTAAGCTAGGAGCAGCCAGGCAATGATTTTAAGAGACACAAGATGAGAAAGAAGAAAAACATATAACTGTTTATTGCAAGAGCAAAGAACAACTGTCATCAAAATATTTTTCAATGGAACTTTCCATGAATGTTACCACAATGACACTCTCACCATCAGTAACTGATAGCAGGCTGCTAATATTCAATATAATTAGACTTGTAGCTTTACTTAATAGTTCTCAGGAATGATTTTTCTATAAGGTATTTTATATTTTCATATATCCCTCTGTGCTATGCGATCAAAGAAATCCATTCTAACCCTCCGAGCTTAAGGACTAGGGCACTATGTCCCAATAGAAAGACCTGACCCAAACCAAGCCAAGGGGAAACTTACAGGAATGTAGCCAAGAAAGCCAGTTATAAACATCCACCCACCTTCTGCAACAGAGTAACACATGAGGAAGTCAGCTCCGGCTGGCAGCGTGTAAACAGAGGCCGAGTCCACCTGGGTCACGTTGGCATCTAGCCTGTCTGTCCCATGGTCCACCACGTCCAAAGGAGTGACGGGCACATCGTGCTGGTCTCCCCGACAGGCCTGTGAGACGAGGAGGAAAACCACCTCCTTTACTGACCTACTCCTCCTCCCAGTGCTTCACGTTTACAGTGATGGTATAGTTTATGCCATACGTGTGTCGTGTGTATCGACATCAGTAGAGACCACATTACAGGCACTTCAAAACAATGCATTCAGGTTTAGAGCAGACTAAAGTTGCCAAAGTTTCTTCTCTACTTATGTTTCCTTTTAGTTCATGTTAAAAAAAAAATGACATCCCCAACTATACACCAAATTATATGGATTGAAAGGTACACTGTAGGGGAGAAAGCTGCTGTGGTTCTAAAATTTCCAATGGATTCACCACCCCATAACACCAAGAGTCAGCCTTTCTTTTAAAAGCCATGGGACTTGCCTGGGTGTTTCTACCTCATCAGGTCATGCATCCCAGGTGGGCCAGCCACTGGCCTGGGACCCTGCCCCACTGAGGGACATGTGTCCATGCGCCTCCTTCCCCACACTCCCACTTCACAGAAGGGTCTCACATTCTTACCCACTAATTCTCACTCTCACAAAGGATGATATTAATTCTACTCTGAAATGACTATTATGGGCTGAACGCTGTGCCCCCTAAATTTATATGTGGAAGTCCTAACCCCTAATAACTCAGGAGGTGACTGTATTTGGAGATAGGGGCTTTCAAGAGGTAATTAGGGTGAAGTGAGGCCATCTGGGTGGATCCTAACCCACTATGCCTGGTGTCCTTACAATTAGGACACGATGTGCACAGACGAAAGACCACTCGAAGCCACAGGGACAAGACAGCCACCTCCCGGCCGAGGAGAGAGGCCTCAGAAGAAACCAACCCTGCTGACCGACACCCTGACCTCGGGCTTCCAGCCTCCAGAACTGTGAGGAAATACATGTCTGTTAGTTAAGCCCCTGGCCTGTGCACTTTGTTCTGGCAGCCCTTGCGAACTTAATACAGTGAGCGAACAAGACTCTGTTGTAGTATTATAAGTAAATGGTTAATTCTAAGCTCTAAAAGGAACAAAACGTCCCGAGTGATTTCAAAGTTATCAGTTAAATAGATGATCCCTAATATCCTATTTTCACAGCGAGACCTTAATCTCACTTAGCACTATCAGGCTTACATTCAGACCTTATTTTCCACTGTCTCCCTAAGTATAACATAGAACCTGGGGACCTGATGCCATCACTCACAAGGAGAATAAAAGCCCGCCTTTACCGAGGGCTGCCATGTGCTAGCGCTGTCCTCAGGGTTTCCATTTGTCAGGCTGGGGCATGTCATCCCCACGAGCTGTGCTGTGGCCCCGTCTCACAGACGAGGAATTGAGGCATGGAGAAATAAAGTAAGGGGCAAAACCTATTCCACCTTTGTGGCTGTCCTCCCACAGCCACTCATCAGACATTTCCAATTCACCGTCTGTGACAGGCTGGCCACTCCCTTTCTCACGAAGCAATCGTGTCATCATTTTCCTGTTTTTTCTCCTCCTCTGGCCCACCCTCCTCAGCATCCTTCCTCTGCTCCCTGCTCCCTGGTGTCCCTCAGTCCTGCTGTACACTCATTTTCCAGGCTGCACTTGACATGGCTGTAAACTCATCCACTCCCATGGCTTCCATTTCCATCCATCTCCTGCATACTCCCCAGTGTACTTCTCCAGCTCAGGCTGCCTGCCGTAGGTTCTCATGCTGTTATCTCCAACCACTTGTCCCACAGGCACCCCAGTGCCGTTGTCCACACAAGAAGCCAGGGAATCGTCCTTAACTTCTTTTCTTACAGATCCCCCCGCTCCCTCCCCTCAAGGCTTTGTGGCAAGATGTGAAACGCATTCGTGTCTTCCCTGCCCTTTGTGGAAATACAGAACTGCAGCACTGACACATCAGCAATCGGTTCTCTTTTTTGTTCAAAATCCCTATTGATGTGCCAAATGACGCTATTCAGGCCAAAAACTATTTTTATTCCTACTACCAATTTGGCAGGGAGGACACAGCGTCTTGCTTTAAGGGAAAGTGTGAAAGGCTGCAGCACGCTAGGACCAGCACTCTGCATGCCTACAGCCCTCCCACGGCCCCGCGTGCTCCCCAGCTCCCGAAGAACCAAACTGGGTCTGAGCAGGCCACCTGCATCACACTCCACGACCAGCAGATACCTCCTCTGCTGGCTCTGCCCTGACACCGGCCTGGGCCAGGGAGCAGCACGTTGTTTATTTTGAGTCATTTCAAATATCAATCCAAGTAATAAAGGTACTGAGACTCTTTATTATTTATTCTTTATGTTAATAAAGAATTACTACTAATAGCTCAAATTGCAACTCTGATCGACTAGGATTCAAAAAGGACCTTTCCAATTACTGGAGAAAGTTACTTTTGAAATTGGCTTTAGTTCTTTATAAGCACACCTACAGAACTATGGACTCTGTAATGAAGATAACAGCATAGTTGGTCTTACCTGAATGATGAAGATCTTGGGTTTTCCAACCAGGCTCTGACACCTGTCTCCTTTGAACAAGCCAGTCAATGTCTGAATCGCAATTTTGGCGTCATATGCGTAAATGTGATTTCCTTCGCCATGACTCAGGAAGACACACAAAAAGCAGTCAGCATCTATGTGGCTGGAAGTTGACACTATAAAGGCCCCCAAAAGTTCATATACAAATGAAAATAAGATGCTTATTATCTACTTATAATTATTCAATTTACTCATACCAGAATACTTACATACATATGACTAGGGGAGGGGGAAATGTGTTATTCTTATAACAAATGTAAAATATCTGTCATGATACACAACTTATTTTAGTCTTTAATCAAACAATATACCATATTTTATCTGATTTTTAAAAGTCCAAATTATTAAAATTCAAAGTAATAGAGTTTGAACAGATTTCATTCACTTTTGTAAAACAGAATAATGACAGGGAAAACATAAAAGGATTATTAGGGGGAACCTCCTTCAAGATCTAAGTCATTTGGCAATAAAAGTTTCTTTGAATCATCAGAGCGCTTCTCGGAGCAGAGCGGAAAGACCCAGAAAGTGGTACTTAACAATGAATGCAGCACCTTCACGGTATGTCCACAGCACTTAGAGCTCCTGAAGAGCGCTAAGATGTGAGACTGATGTCCCCTACAGCTTGTGAGCAGGGCAGAAACCTGGTAAACAGCTGTCAAAATGATTCCTGGATTAAAGAAGAGCTCTGAGGAAAGCTGGAATGATTATGTAACTATTATAATAGTCCACTGGCAAACGGCTTGCAAATCCATGGCATGCAGCGATGACAATGATGAACGTAAGTTGTTAGAATACTGACTGCACAGCGATGTAGAAATGGAGAACGTATGTAAATCCACAGTATTCTGAAGCCAGTAAAAAACTGGGGTATGGAAGGAGTCCATTAAAAATTACTGCCCAGCATCTGTAGTATTTGCATTTTAGACTTTTACTGCCAAATGAAAAGGTCGTTTCATTGATTTCTAGAGTAATAGACTGTAACTAATGATATGCTAAATATAAACTTCGGAGGCCTAATACTTTGCAAGGGTCTCTTAAATCTGGTGGGTAACATATAAGCAGAGAAGCACGACTGAAACTTATGACCCACGCGAAATTAACTGAGAAGACTTTTTTTCAACAGTTAATTATTTGGACCTGTCTTTCCAGATGAGATAAAGTGCTCAACCCTGTCAAAGGAAGACGAACATGAAAACTACCCACCCTCGTGAATTTTCACCAGCAGTTCTTCTGCTTTAAGATCGTTAAAACATTTCACTTCAAATCCTAGATCTGAAAACCTGGTGATAAATTAAACTGAATATTAGCTTATAAGCTTTTCAAAGTTGTCACATGCTCCTACTTATTTGAGGAATCTATACACATTTTTATGTCATATAAATTGACTTTTCTTTAAGGAGAAAGAAAAAAATATGACAATGATGGTTTTCTTTTTTTCCTTTTTTTTGTGAGGAGATCAGCCCTGAGCTAACATCCATGCCAATCCTCCTCTTCTTTTGCTGAGGACGACTGGCCCTGGGCTAACATCCGTGCCCATCTTCCTCCACTTTACATGGGACGCCGCCACAGCATGGCTTGCCAAGCAGTGCGTCAGTGTGCGCCCGGGATCCGAACCGGCAAACCCCGGGCCGCCGCAGCCGATCGCGTGCACCTAACCGCTTGCGCCACCGGGCTGGCCCCCAATGATGGTTTTCTTGATCACTCAGAGTAGGAAAGAATTTATTCAAAATGATAACTGATTCAAGATAGAATATTGCTGTCTACTATGCAAATCTATTTGTAACAATGCAAAGCCTGTTAACATTTAATAGAACAGGGTTAGGAAGAAAACTCAGGCAATTCTTAAGGGAGGCTGGACCCAACGAGGCCCATCCTCGAACACTCTTGCTCTGTTATTTCATCAGCGCGGACAAGTTTTGATAAGTAATTCTGTTACCGCTTACATATCTCATCATCACGACACGTAGATAAAACTACTACCTGCGCGTGAGATTGTCTCTGTCTGCGTTGGTGCCGCGCCTGTCTGGCAGCATTAAGTGCCAGAAGAATCTCTCATGATTGAAGATGAGAGCAATTCCTCTCCTTTTGTGGTCCATTTTGTACTTTTCTGCCGGGTCAAACATTTCTCTGTTAATGAAAAGTTTAAAAACATCCCTTTAAGTCACATTAAGTAATGAGCTCCTGCAAGCCCAAGGCCGCTATGTGTAAGGTAGATGGAGATCTGCTCCTTCCTCCTCCTCTGCCAGGCTGACGTGCCGCTGGCGTGCCCGGGCAAAGTCCCGAAATATCCCTGTACCAACTGGTAAACAGCGGTGTCTGGAGCACCACCCCCCAATTCCGGGGCATGGGTCTCCCCCCCGGCCCCAGGATCCAGCAACCATGGACACTGGCCTGGCCCACGCCCCAGCCCTGGGGCCCACGCCGTACCGATTCTCAGATATTCTGAACATCACTCTTGTGCCACCAGGGCAGCCACCAGCCTGCCTATCTACAAGTCCCTCCACAGATGCTAAGCCTGACGCCCTCAGCTCCACTCCGCAGCTCCCAGGCCCCCTTCTTGCTTTGATTTCTCTAGGCTGATCAGGACCACTGAAAGGAGAGAGCTTTAACAGAAAAGAGCACAGTCTTACCTCTTATAGAAGGCATCTGTTTCTGTCATGTTTTCTTCCTCACCTATTAAAAAAAAAAGTTGATTTTTGTTAACTTACTTTTTGACTTATGGAAGTAACACAGCAGGAAGTCCCCTCTGCCTCTGACTCCCACACTCTGAGGCCCTTCTGTTTTGCTTAGTTTAAAAGTCAAAGTATGTGCAAAGAAGAAAAAGGGAAAAGGAAGGGAAACTGCTTCCCAATTAACAACTCAATTCTTTCTTACCCCCAGCTCTTACTGCAAAACAGCAAAGAGTATTATACAGAGAAATGGAGAAAATACTACACAAATGCGTTCACTGCAAAATATGCTCAGAGTAACACAGTTCTGTGATCATGGAGCCCAAAGGAAACAGGACATTGCTTTGTTTTGCAGAAAATGTTTTTACAAATATTCTCTGAAACAGAAGGACTTCAGTCATATAGAACTGAAACAGTGTGTGGTTAGTACTGGATTACTCTACGCCCAGGAGGAGGGAGAAGTCTGGGGGAGGCCAGGACGGGGCGGGGCAAGGGCTTAGATTTCAGATCTCCTGAAGGACACATCAGCATTCATCACCCTACGATGGGGACCCTCTGCTCCCCACCCGGGACCGGGCTTCCCCAGCCTTGGGACAACTTTCACGGAATCCCTCTCTACTCCCTAAATGGTGCTGTGCTACAGAACTTCCTGTGACGATGCGACTATTCCACGCCTGCTGTCCCATATGGTAGCCACTGGACACACGTGGCTGCGGGGCACTTGAGATGTGGCTAGTCCAACTGAGGAACTCAATTTTTAATTTTATGTAATTTCAATTTAGATAGCCACATGTGGCCAGTGGCTTCTGTACTGGACAGCACAAGTCTAGCATCTTCTAAGTTAAAGGCTCATATACCCATGAATCCGTTTTTACCTGATAACAGATTAGAGGGGAGAGAGAAAGTAATGAATAAACAGATCTTAACAGGATAGCAAGATGCCCCTCTCAGCTGGTCTTTGAAGGGGGAAGACACCTACCCATCATCTCCTAGCCAAGAGGGTCCTGTTCCCCTCTCTCCTAGAGTCTCTCCCTGACATCCAACTGTTCGAACCTCCTGCCTCCTCCTGACGAAAACCCACCCTGGGAGTGAGGGTCGGGCGGGGAATTAGGCTCAAGTGCCCTTACCAGTCCCCTTCAGCCTTTCCTCCTGGAGTTCACCCAGCACTCACACCCAACCAAGCCCCACAGAGGCGTCCCCTTCCAACAGGCCTTCAACCAGTTCTTACCAAACTTTCACATCAATTCCTGGCCTGGGTGATGAAATGCAGATGCCTGGATCCTAACCCAGACTGAGGAATCAGAAGCCTGGCAGAGGTGACAAGCAGCATTCTGAACAGGGCGACTTTTACTCACACTGAAGTTTAGGAGGCAAAATCAACCTCTTTAATGCTTCCTCCTCATCCTCCCAAGGTTTCCATCCCACTCCACACACTGCTCTGCACGGAACTTCCTACTCCACACACCGCTCTACTGATATACTTCCTACTCCACACAC